CCAAGAAAGCTGGGTCCACGTCCCGAGGCTGGGTACGTTGGTGCTCAGTGCGTATGTGATCATTTCGGGGGTATGATTGTGGCGCGCTGGGCGTCATCGTAGCAGAAGGCTTTCACAGTAGCTCCAATTTGAGCCAACCTGTTTGCCGTGGGTTGCATCTCGTATTCCTGGGGGAAGAAGATCCTGGTAGCTGAGCAGAGTCGGAATCACTGTCAAACTCTTGATAGGAAGGAGACATGATCCGATATTCTGCAACATACTGCTTTGGCTTCGGACTCTGGGTAGACGACAGGTGATATGGGCCCTCTATCACCAATCGGCTGGTCACGCCGAGCAAAATGTTCAGTAGAATCTGGTGTCAAACATTTTAGTAGTCTGGTGAATCATAAACATTTTAGTATAGTGTGGTCAGCCATAAACATTTCAATATAGTGTGGTGAATCAGTTAAATCGGCCTATTATAATTTGATTTTGAGTTTTAAATAGGGTTTTTTCAAAATAGCACCTGTGGCAGCCGTATTGGATTTTTGATCGACATGGGAAAAAACCCACTTTGCCAGGACCACGAGTCTATCATTCCTACCAAGTTTCAGTTAAATCAACAGAGTAGAACTTTACTTTAAGTTTGAAATAGTTATTTATCATATTGGATTACTACTGATCAACCTGAAAAATAGCAATACTTTTTGCAGGACCATGAGTCGATCATTCCTGCCAAGTTTCAGTTAAATTAGCCCAGCAGAACTTGACTTTAAGTTTGAAACAGTTCTTCAAAATGGCGGCCATATTAGATTTCTGATCGACCCTAAAAATAACAACACTTTGTCAGGACCATGAGTCGATCATTCCTGCTAAGTTTCATTTAAAGTTTGAAATAGTTTTTCAAAATGGCGGCCATATTGGATTTCTGATCGACCCGAAAAATAACAACCCTTGGTCAGGGAGTTGTCAGTAACATTCCCATGAAGTATCAATGAAATCCCTTCAACAGTACTTTAGCTTAAGTTGAAAATGTAAAATGTTTCCGGACGAGGGACAAAGACGGATAGCAATAGGTCACTTGAGCTAAAGTTCAGGTGACCTAATAAAAGCTGATGCAATCTATCTATTCTAAAACCGGGCATCCCTGGAAAAAATGGCTTTCGAATAATGCTGTGCATTATTAGCTCACCTGGTCCGAAGGACCAAGGTGAGCTTATGCCATACCATGGTGTCCGTCCGTCCGTACGTACGTACGTTTGTAAACAATTTGTTCAAACGACTTCTTCTTAACCGCTGATTGGAATTTAATTTAATTTAATATGACTGGAAGCATTCCTAGGTGGTGGGGATTCAAAATTGTGGGGCTAAAAAGAGGCAATTTGGCTATATTGCTTTACACGACTTCTTCTCTAGAACTAAGAGATAGATATCACCCACATTTAGTTGGAAGCATTCTCCGGGGGTGAGGATTAAAAAATGGAGGTGCTGGCCCCAAAAGTGGCTGAGGGGAGGGACAAATTAGGGGTAATTTGACTATATTGCTTTAAGCGACTTCTCAATAACTAAGAGATAGATATCAACCATATTTGATTGGAAGCATCCCAAGGTGGTGAGGATTCAAAAAGGTACAAATGGAGCGGCTGACCTCTCAAAGGGATGAGGGGCGCTGCCAAATAGGGTAAATTAGTGTTATTGCTTTAAAAACTTCTTTTCTGGAACCACTAATTTGACTAGTTCTAAGCATTCCTAGGTGGTGGGGATTCAAACTTGTACAAATGGAGTTGCTGACCCCCTTAAGTGGCTTAGGGGAGGGGCCAAATAGGGGTAACTTTTATTGTTTTGTATTGCTTTGGTAATTAATAGAAATGAAAATGTAGGTTATTTTGTGGGTGTAATTTATTCTTTTTGTTAATGATTTATACATGTGTGTGTATTTTTTCACTGAGTTTGTTTATATGCAGTTATGAAAATGTCTAATCATAACTCATTAGAGCTTATGTTTAGTCGTTTGTAACTAAACCGAATTTAATAAAGCTTTCATAACGAAATGACTCTCAAACAAACATTTTGGTAACCCTGATGTTACCAAGCGCATGCGCTATTCGAGTTTCATCAAGGTAAAATGGATGAGGGGCTGCCACGGTACAATGGATATAAAACACAATTTCTCAGCTAAACTATGTAAAGATAACACTGTATTTTTTCGTTAATAGTTCGTTGTGATACTGTTGATATTGTATGGAAGTGAAGTTATGTGTTTGTTAGTATATTGTGCGTCCCTCCGTGAGAAGTCGGCGACATTTGGCGAGAATTTTGTTGCACTTGATGAGTACGGGTTTATTTGGTCAGTCGTTTGGACTGAATGCAAGATCGTTTGATTCATTTAAATAATTATTCCACAGTCCTTATTATAAACACAATAGTTAACTAGATGGAATGTGTTTGTATAATTGCTCTCTTGTACTCGCGAGTGTCCTTCGACAAACCGGAATTGTAACGTCTCCTATTTTGACGGATTGCCGTGTCGCAATGCATTTTTTCAGTGAGGAAATTGAAAATTAATCGCGGCTTGTATGCTGCGTCATTGAAGCATGCCACGCTTGAATAATTGATGTTTATCTTCACGTGAGTGGCAATAACAATATTTGTTGACACCAATTTCTTTTGAAAATTAACACCTCGTAGTGCATGGAGATTACGACAAAATTAACTGATTCTGGTGATAAACGGGATGCATAGTATTTGCAAACATAATAATAATAATAAATAATAATAATAATAAATTCTTTTATTTAGACAGGGTAACATATTTAACATATTTAGATTTTCATCTAGTTTACAATATGGCCCTGTAAAACACATTATAGATACATACATAAAACAACAGCACATCACGCATACAGAGACATATGACATACAATAAAATAGAAAAAGCAGTTAAATAGTACAATACATTATTAAGACAACCTATTATATTGTATCACTAAATATCACAGAATTGCATTTAAAACATTAGAAAATATCACAGTGTATTACAAGTCAATACATACATATATTTATCACAGGGTAATATAAGGATTATCTCTGGAAATTATATTAAACAGAACCATAGGGATAATTTCAAATATTGTACTTTAAAATATACATATAGTATATACCATATAGTACCTGGTTTCCAAGTGATTGGGAATCCCCTACCTACTTGGTCCGCCGGTAACACATGGTATTCATGATCTAGTATTTTTAAAATAATTGGCCAGATATGCCTTTTTAAAAGCCAGAACATTTGTTGTGGTTCGTATGGTTTCTTCCAAAGTATTCCATAAAAGAGTACAAGTGTATCTAAAAGAATTTTTGTAAAAACTTGTTCTACACTTGGGGATATAGAGCTGGTTCTTCGCAGAAGATCTTGTGGTTCTTGTGGAAATCTGGGTTACATAGGTAAATAAATTTTGTTTTAAAAATCCTGGAGCCTGGTCGTTAAGGATTTTATAAGTTAGAACACATTTTCTAAAAGTATAAAAATCGTGAATAGGCATCCAGTTTAAAGTCTAAATGGACCCTTCCAAACAAATCATTGACGACGTGCCAGAAACGACTACCAAGGTAAGACCTATATCTCGCGTGCATTTCACAGAAAATTTGACATGTTATTACATGGCCCCAAACACTGCTAATCAGTGACAGATCCAGGTGTTTTTTGGGCTTCCAGAACCCCCCATCATGAGAATTTTCTGCATGTCTTTTCACCAATTTCCTCATTTTTCTGCCCACATGTGCACATCAATATATTTGTGTTATATTAACTTTGATTATAATAAACCATTTTTGATTAAATAATAATAATTTTTCATGGGAATATTTGCAGTATATGTTTAAATAAACAAATATGTTTTTCTCCATTATTTCTCCCCTTGCTTGATAGATTGGTATATATGTCCTAGAAACCAAAATCATTTAGCGTATTACTTTTATTTCGGCAAAAACGGCGTAATTACCAAAATAATACTGATTATTGGTGATTTATTCCACTTGTGAATCTTACTAAAATAAAATAGAAAATTAGCAGAAAAAGCAGAGTCTAAAAACATACAACACCTAACTATCAAACTTAATACTGTTCAAACCACATGTGATCGCAAAATAACTTGAAATTTGGGACATTGCAAACACAGCAAAAACAAAAGTCGCTCCAACAACAGACATCAACATTGGAGAGGACATATTGGATAGCCAAAAACCATCAACAGTTACCACAGATGCAACTGTGGAACAAATTCAAATTACAGATTTCAAATCTTGTGCATCGTGCACAGGGAGATCCTAAACCCATTTGTTGACATGAAATTCTACAGCTGCCCTCTGCAATATGAAGCAACGGTCATCAAACATGTTGCAACAGTTCTCTGGAACCATTAACATAAAACCTGCAAATGACCCATCACAGAACTCAGTTAAACTCACTTTGTTCAACGCCCCTCTGAGAGATTTCCTCACAGAGTTAAACAAAGAGGAATTACTCGAGCAAAACTTAGCTGCAGACTTACTTGAAGAGCTCTTGCTTGAAAGCAAAGCATATATGGTGCTACAGATAAAGTGATCCAAAAAATCACATCCAATGCAGAACTTTCAGATCTGTAAAGTGTAACGTCACACTGAGTCACTAAATCAATTCTAAGCTCAATGTGTGATCAGTTTTCTTTGTATTAGGTGACTTATAGCACATTTTATAATCAGACATGATGTGCAGAAATACAAATGCTTGGGCATTTTAGTTTCAATATGTTGTCATGTATGACATAGTTTATAATAATACATGATGAGTAGGAATGCAAATTATTGATAAGTAAATATGCCTATTAGTAGCTGCTTGGGCATTTTAGTTTCTCCTTTCTCAACAATCTACCCTAAAATCAGCCAAGCGTGACAAGTTCATTTTGTGACTTTGTGAGCTTCTTTAGTCCAAATCACGCGGCGTGATCAAGCCAAGCCGGAGTTTTTCAAACAAATAATCTCAACGGATATTATAAGTTCAACCACATCCATTTTCGACATTGGTATTTTGATTTCGCCATTGACCGAGATGCATTGCTTAACGCAAATTCAGAGGGGTAGAGCAATTGCGATGTTGATGGATGGTCATAGCCAAACTGCTGTCGCATGGCAGTTTGGTGTCTCTGTACACGTTTCCGTGAGACTGGGTTAGTTTCCCATTGAGCATCTGTGGGATGAGCTGGACAGGCGTATTAGGAAACATCAATAAATGTTCTCATGAATTCAATGCATAGCAGAATCCGTGCAGAGATTCGTGCAAAAGGTGCCCACACCAGGTACTAGAGTGTCATTTTGTTTTTCGCGGGTATCCCACTTTGAGTAACTACTGATGACACGAATGACGTCACACAGACTTTTCCTCAACAGTATTGTAAAGAGTAGACTTGTTTATAGGCTGTTGATTGCATAATTTAATTGTGCGTTTCTTTTTTTTGTTCAGTATAGTAATACATGATGAGTAGGAATGCAAATTATTGATCAAGTAAATATGCTTATTAGCGGCTGCTTGGATATTTTAGTTTCAATATGGTGTCATGTTTGACATAGTTTATAGTAATACATGACGAGTAGGAATGCAAATTATTGATAAAGTAAAAGAAATATGCCTATTAGCGGGTGCTTGGGCATTTTGATCCAATCAAAATCATTACAAGTAATAAAAATTGTATGATGGTGCGTTTTAAGATCTCTTATGAGATCTCTTGTAGCAACTTTATTTCAGTTTACCTCACTAAAAACTACTTTGACATTTTAATTTCAGTATTTCATGATGTTTCCTTTAATGCCATTCATAATGCTTTGTGAAAAAAACAATACAAATGAATATCTATTACAATATCATTTGATTTTCCAAATACCACATGCTCATTTGCTTCTATGTTGTTTCATCTGCTCACTAAACAGACTATTTCAATTATCATTAGCACTCGTGTCAGATCAACACTATATAAGTTTACTAGGCCTAATTAAGGCAAATAGTTTCTACAATGTAATACCTTCTGCTGTACTTGTTTCATTATCATGCATTTCAGTTAATTTTCAATATTTTGAATTGTAATGTCCACACATCTTATCCCATCTCGATCCTTCATTTTCAGTTTCATCTGTAGTTGCTTCTTCTATAGTCTTGATAAAAGTATTCTGTGAATGAATCCCTCAAAAAAGTAAACATTTCATCCTTTGAAGGTCAACTTGCTTAGTACCTATATATAAAAATCTATTCCTCCTATTCATCAAAATTTAATCAGATGTATATTCATAATTACATGCATATACCTTGTATAAGTTAAGACTTTTCGATTCTATTAGATTCTAAACGAGGGGCCTGAATCGCTCACCTGGTATTAATTTCACACTTGTAATCTAAAAAGTGGGCTAAAATCGACTACAGGCAGAATATCAGTGTGTGATTCATAAGAACCCATTAAAAGATTTAAACATATGATGCCTCTGTCTTTGAATGTCGAACAAGGACATTAGGTTTAAAATGTGGTAGTCCTTCATCCCAGCATGCTACAGGCCCAGTATCGGTACCATGGGCCTTTTGGTTATTGAGAAGTAGTCGTTTGAAGATTTTAACAAAGTTGACCCCTGTGAACTTTAAAGTAGGTCAAGGTCAGTCATTTGAAGAAACTTTGTAGCCATTCATCCCAGCATTCTACAAGTTCAATATCAGTACCCTGGGCCTTTTGGTTATTGAGAAGAAGTTGTTAAGACATCTAACCCCAGTGACCTTGAAAGTCGGTCAAGGCAATTCATTTGAACCAACTTGGTAGTCCTTTATCCCAGCATTCTACAGGTTCAATATCAGTACCCTGGGCCTTTTTGTTATTGAGAAGAAGTTGTTTGAAGATGTTAAGACATCTGACCCCAGTGACCTTGAAAGTCGGTCAAGGTAATTCAGTTGAACAAACTTAGTAGCCCTTCATCTCAGCATGCTACCGGCCAAATATTATCACCCTGGGCATTTTGATTATTGAGAAGAAGTTGTTTAAAAGTTTTTAACATATTTGACCCCTGTGACCTTGAATATAATTGAAGGTTATTCATTTGAACAAACTTGGTAGCCTTCACCCAAGCATGCTACAAGCCAAATATCATATCCCTGGGCAGTTTGCTTATCGAGAAGATGTTTAAAAAAATTAACATATTTGATCCCTGTGACCTTGAAATGGGTGAAGGTCATTACCTTTAACAAAATGTGTAGCCCTCATCCCAGTTTGCTTCTGGCCAAATATCGACACCCTAGGCCTTTCGGTTATTAAGAAGAAGTCGTTTAAAGGACGGACGGACGGACGACGGACGCCGCGCCACAAGCTCATTGGCACGTTGGTCAGGTGAGCTAAAAATCGATGGAGAATTATGTGAGAAATCTTTGTGGCGAGTGTTTTCCCGATTATAATGTACCAAGCGACTGAAAGCCTAAAACAAGACTAATAGTAGTTGCGTGCCCCTGTGTTCCGATTCAGTTGGGGAAAATAACATGTTATACAACTTGTATTATTAGATTCACTGTGATGTTGGCTGTCATTGAAGGTCTGACTTTCACAGTGCATATAAAAACTTAGGGTATTGTAGGCACACAAATCTAGGACAGGTCTGGTTAGCCACAGGTGCCGGACACACCATTAAGTAATTTGTGTATAATATATAATATAGTAAGTTTATACACATCATATTACTATGTGTGTCCAGTATCTGTGGGGTTAGCAGAAACACAATATTTATTTTAATTGGCCTTATTTAATGATCATTAATGGTCACACAGGGCTCGGTTTCCTATTCGGAAACCTGTTAAAACAGTAATCATTTATAACTTTTAAAGATAGAATAATTCTTCGCAGAAAAATGGAAATATAATTATTTATTAACCTTTGTCTGAGTTGTACAATTTTAAAGTATCTTCTGTCGGAAATCTGACCATAACTTGGTTTTTGAAAAAAGGGTGTTAAAAAAATGTCATACTGGGGAAAAGTTTTTCTATCTAGTCCCATTTTGTCATAAAACAAGTTATGTCCAGATTTCAGACAGAAGATACTCTAAAATTGTACAACTCAGAAAAGGTTGAAAAATAATTATATTTCAATTTTTTCTGCTAAGAAATATTTAATGTCTCAAGTTAAAAATTATAACTGTTTTAACAGGTCTAGTTTCCGAATTGGAAACCGAACCCTGTCTAACCTATTAATGATCATTAAATAAGGCCAATTAAAAGTTTAAAAGAAATATTGTGTTTATGCTAACCCCACAGATACTGGACACACTAATAGTAATATGATGTGCATAAACTATGATATATTATACACACAATACTTATTGGTGTGTTCGACACCAGTGTGGTTAACCAGACTTATCTCAGATTTGTGTTCCTACAATACCCTTTAGTTTTTATATGCACTGTTAAAGTCAGAACTCCTGCTATATATTAGCGCAGTAAAGATATTTTTCAAATTAACAATAAAATGCCTAGCTAATACATACCTACCCTATTTTTTTCTGATGGTAGAAACACAAGTAATTTGTTTGGCCTAATGTTTCTGTCATTTCATAAT